CCTCCTTACTAATTTAATTTTTATTTGTTTCAACAGCGTCAATATTTCCTTCAGCTGCTTCATGGGGCAATTGGGGCAATCCGGCTACAAACCTCTATCAACCACACTCGATGGGTCATGTAACACCATCACATGTTGCACCACATTTGAGCTCCTACCCACACTATGCATGACCATCATCGTCCGGCGGTGGCTTCTAATATGAAAGCAACGCCATTGTCGGTGGCAGTACTGGTGTTCATGCTCACACACACAGCAATGTCAATAACAACCTAAGCAGCAGCAGCAGTAGTGTTGCAGCGGCAGCCGCCATAAACGCTGTTACTTTGCATAATTTAACCACATCGCCAAGCGTAAATGGCGTTAGCAACCACAATGGCGGTATTGGCAGCGGTGGCGGGAGCAGTAACTCCAATGGCGGCAGTGGCGCAGCAGTTAGTAATCATCATCATTTGAACATAGCCACGGCGACATTAACAGCAACCCCAACGCATAGCGTTGGAGCTAGCAGTGGTTTTGGTGGCATAAGTGGGTTAAGTGTGGGAGTCGGTGGTGGCAATATTAATTCACTTGTTGTTGGTAATCGTCTAATGAATACAGCAGGATTACCGACAATATTGAAATGATGCCATTTTGACAAGTTCGGCATATCGGCAATGAATACATCGATTTCGCCCACTGCACACACAACAACACCTGCAATTACTCCACCGCCTGTTATAACTACAATACCACCTTCGACATTATTACAACAACAATTAGAACTACAACAGCAACAATTAATGCAGCAGCAACAACAATATTATTTCAACGAAACCACCAACAATAATCAAAGCCAGAACGGCAACAATAACAGCCACAACATTAGAGCCACCCCATTTTATTGAAGCCGAAAAGGTAACTAAGCCATTACCAAGCAGTTTATTTCGAAATTATGGAGTATTTACAGAAGTTGTGGATACACAAAATACAGACATCTAAATCCTTTTATGTATCTAAACTTATGTACTCTTGTTTTAAATTGCTGTAAAAAGTACTAATGCAATGCTAGGTATGGTATAAGATACATTCTGTGTGAAATAAATAAGAGAAGGAAACCAAAGTTATATCAGAACAATAGTAAATCGATTGAATAATGTGTATATCACAGACTTACCCTGAATTTTAATATTGCATACAAGCAAATCTTTTTATAACATTTAAAGCGATACTAACGAATTTTCAATGTTGTTATTAAAATTAAAATAAGTAACAAATTTTAAATAATAAATTTTAAAATTTCTAGTCGTAGATAAAATAAGTAAAGCCCCACACCCTTGTACACCGTTTGTAAATGAGCTAGACTCTCAGTTAAAATAAATTAATATATATATATATATATAAATATTTTGTAAATATTCGTTAATCGAATAGATGTGAGTGTTTATGTACATTAAAAAAAATATTAAGAAAACTAAAATTATTGTAAAAATAGTATTTAATAGATAAAAATTATGACGATATATTTGGAACGCAAATGAAGTTCAAAACAGGTATGAACTCGTTATATACCTTATATACCGTAAATCAAAGTAAGGCATATGAGTACATTATAATGATAGTTCAGTTCAAAAACTGTCATCGAAATTTTATGTACGTATGCTTCTCTGGTATAGGACCTAAGACATTCCTAAAGATAATATCGTTTATAGATTAGCAGCAAAAAATATTGATGTAAATTTGAAAGCTGCATAAGTCAATGTGTATTTTTAGCAATAACTCCTTTAGAAATCCTTCACGGGGATTTTAGTAAGATATAACAACAAAATTATATCAACTTAAACCAAAGTGTTTAGGCTATTGTATGTGTCTGTGTTTAATTATATACAAATTTTAAAATTAGAAAATATCTGTAAATAGTTATTTGTATATTATTGAATATATAGATTTAATATTTTTTGTGATTTCATTGTATTACTATTTTATTGATATAAAATAATTTATTCTAAATTTGATTTATAAGTTTAATTTATTTAAAGAAGTGATAACAGAAACTCACTAAAATTAATATAAAAATTTTAAATTATTATTTTAAAAAAATTCAATATGTAATCAATACAATTAATTCGGAAATCTTTCAACAATTCAAGATTAGTTAAAAAAATAGATTTTAATATATAGAATATGTGTATGAAATTAATACAAGAGGTTTAATTATAAACTTTATAAAAATGATTAGTTTACCATTTTTATTATTTTATCATTATTATTAGATATCAATATGCACAGTTTGGGGTTTGTTGTTCTAGAGTTTATATGGTGACATAATAATATCATTCAATGTATACGTACAATTTAGTCCGAGCTTTTGATGTTAATTACAAAAAATCAATAGATCCCAGCAGAACCCAACTTATTTAAGTAATAATTTAAATTTGTAAAATAATCAGATGAAATCGCCAAAGCTCACTGTACTTTATATTATATATACAGCTGATATGATTTTTCCTTTGCCTGGATGAGAAATGGTTTTGTTTGGAGGACTTTAAATTGCTGTTACAGAGAATTGCCTAGCTTCAATAAATGTCAAGTTTTTTCTAATTTGTTCGACAATCATATATGGTGATCGCATTGTTCAATAAACAATCATATAAACTGACATGTCTTATTATGGTTTAAGGTCTTTAGTAGACCCCAGTTTTCTTTCTTCATATAAAGTAAGTTCTTTTAAACTGTATAAAATACATATATATAATTATATATATGTTATTATTATGTATATGTAGGTACATGTATGTATTTAAATTTTTAACTAAATCATAACATAAATCATCAATAAAAAATTACTGTAATTTCAATTGCAAAGGAGTTGGTATTAAGGACATTCACTTAAAGAGATATTAATAACTTTATCACTAAAGATAGGAAGAACGCTATGTTGATAAAAATTATTGTATTGTTGAGAGTCCTTACGAAGAAGATAACTATTGGAAGGGATAAATAAACATGAATATAGATTAAAATATAAAAATTTTATCAGCTAATTTTTATAATTAATCGTTTAAGAGAGCAACAAATAGACAATTCAAGGAAGCTGGCTTTTTATGTAAACAGTTTTTGTTAGATTATAATATATAATGAATTTTACATAATTCTGACATTCATTAAAAACGAATTTATTTTTTATTTCACTATAACAACACATATATATTGATATTCAGATGTCTGAGTTGGTGAAACAGCACCTTTACTCTATTTTATCTGTGGACAGTTTTAAGTCACACTAAATACAACACATCTTACTATAAACTTTACTTATTTCCATACCAATTTATTTAATAGGTTTAAGTTAATTTAACAATAGTCATATTTTTTTAAGTAATATTTAACTGCTTTAACTGCATTCTTTTGAATAAAGTTCACTTCCTTTCTATATATAGGTACGTACATATCTATTTTCCAAAACTCTATTCATTTACTCATATCGTCTCCTACATAACTACTGATGCACTTTGCTTCTTGTCTGAATTTGTAGTTCAGTTTACCATGCGTTTACATTGTCTAGACTTTAACAAAATTTTTATGTTCGAACTACAAATTATTTTCGAATTTTGCTTGCAAACAAAAATTTGCATCTGTTAGTGAAAAAATGGGAATCTTACCAAAGTCCAGCAAGTATAAACGCTGGCTTTTAGTAAGATAACTACTTTTTTAAAGCAGTTAAAATCTTGTAAAAGTTAAAATTAATGGTATAGAAATACCTATAAGATACAATTTTTAAGAGCATCGATGTAATTACTTTCTTACTCATTTTTAAGAAAACCGGAACCAGTTGATAATAACATTCACCGATGTTATAAAATACGTTTAAAAGAAATTAACTTTTAAGACAATGTTCGAACTCAGGTAGGCTTTGTGCACCTGAAGTAAGTTGTCGTTCCAGCATAACCTAACTAAACTCGGTACCCCTATTCTAAATTCTAATACATTATCTTGTAAAAAGCAGACCCATCTTGTGTTATAGTATCATATATGTTTAATAATTTTAATGTTAATGGAAACTATTTTATTACTTTGTCTGAGTTTTTAGTATTAATCTTAAACGTTTTCTTAAACCGGAGGACTGTGATAGATGAATGTACAGTTAAAAATATTTTAAATTTGTTTTATTTACATAATAAAAAAGAAAAGAAAATTTAGTATATTTAAGTATATAAATTGTTAAGTATTTAATTTAAATATATTTAAATAGGATACTCTGTAAAAATAATAATATTAATTTATAAAAAATTCAAAGTTATAAAGGAATTATAATTGTTTATAATATAAACAAAATAATTTAAGATAAAAATTCCCTAACAGAATTTAAGTATTAATTGCATATAAGAAAAGGCAAAAATTAAATTATAAATAAATAAATAAATTAATATCAAATACTCAATATAAAAAGACGGCAAGTGTAAAATATTGAAGTTTCTGAATGTAAAAGTTTCTTAACATTGACATTAATTTCGATTTAATAATCTCTTACTGTTTCACAACTACAATATTAAAGTTTTTAAGTGTATTTATAAATTTTTAACAAATCTTGATGTGTAAAAAATTTAATATAATAATAACTAAGATTATATATACAAATAATTAAATATTTTAAAACACAAACTCCGTAAGAAAATTAGCATGAACAACAAAATAAAAATGATGAAAATAATTAAATAAAAAAAATTCCAAATTGAAATAAAAAATTGGTTTTATTTAAAAGTAAAACAAGAATATTACAGAATATGAAAAACAAAAAAAAATAATAAATTATTATATTAACAGCTTAACTACTAACTGTTCGCAATTTTTAGTTATTTTTAAACCACACAAATTCATAATCCTTTAATGTATTTTCTTTCGATTGGACTTTCGTGTCTAATTTTCGCCAGCGGATACGTGGTTGGTAACCATTTTCGTTGGCCACATATTCGATGGTACGCAAAATATCATCATCACCAATAGAAAAATAGTTGCCTTCCTTATTGCCGTTTCGTGAACCGGTTTCCGTGTGCCCATTGTAGTCGAGTATGTATTTGAAACGGTACAAGTCACCAACTTCACCAGCACTACCACCAGCAATCCCACCACCAATAGCACTATTACCTACCCTTAGATCGAATTTAGGATTCACCCCACTCTGTGATTGACTACCTGTTGATCCGATTGAGTTTTGTGGGAAAGTTATGGCATTGCTTGGTGCTGAAATAAATGTGTTACGTAAATAATTTTGCTATAATTTTGACTTATTTACCGTTTGGTTGCTTAGCTGCAGTCTTTAACGGTGGGATATTTGCGCCAGGTGGCGCACTGCCAGTTGGTGTCCTTGCTGCGTTTAATGTAGAAGGTCCTGTGCAAAAGACAGCTTTTAGTAAATATAGATTCTTATTTTGCTATAATTACCATTTAATGGTGTGAATGTTTTTGTACCCACTTGGCTACCGGTTTGTGTCTTAGTTATAGCAGAATTTAACAAATCACCTATAATTTTTATATTATAAGCACATTTTTGGGAATAGAAAGAAATGATAAAATTAAATGTTATTGAATAGTTTAAGTCAGAATAATGAAATGTACAGATGCTTTTTAAATGGGGTTAAGATTATTTTAAGTGTGAATATGTTTATTAAAGACATTAAATGTTGTTTAACCTTATCGCCTACTTATCACATATTCCCAGTTGGCCATATTCTCATTGACGACATCGTTATCAAGACTATTTGTTCATTAAGTGACTGTTTGCATCACTAGACTCTTACACAAGCAATAAACTAAACCAAATATACATCGGAAAATATAAAAAGAACGAAATATAGCTTTATATATAATATATAATATAGCTTTGTTCTAACCACGTAACAAGATAATGCGTTGATAAACGCTTCATTGGGAAAAATTCCTCAGTCAGCAAAAGAAGTTACATTTGGATATAACTACCTATTTTCTTGGAATAAGATCCATTTATGCATTTGTTGTTTTTTGGGTCATAGCATCAGGTTTCACATCGAGTAGAAGCATCAATGCTAACATTCTTCTTGAGTAATATTAGTTGCCAATCAAAGCTACTTCTAATCCAGTGTACGAGATTTTATTCCCGTTTTACGATAGGCATGTTTTTTAAAGTGTAGATAATATTCTAGGATTAGATGCCGTTAAAGCTTTACATCCTTGTGCTTTTAACACACTTATCAGTATAATAAACCGCTAAACGTTTTTTTTGAAATTCCAAAAAAATTCTATCGAAATTAATTGAAACCACATTTTTGTATATAGTTTCTTACTTGTGAGGAAATAAGGGGATTGAAGACAATTTTCTCATTTATTCGATCATGGTAACAAAGATGGAGTCAGGTTAGTTTTCATTTCGTGAAGAGATCTTCGATATTTTTTGATTCCTATTAAGAAAAGGAAAGATATATATTACAGTTTAGTTTCCTTCATATGAACCACGTAGTTTACACACAGAAGTTATATATAAAAATCAGAAGGTTTTCGAAACAAATAGGGACAGAATATAAAGAATGTCTATAAGGAGATTAAACGATGTAGATGAGAAATTTTTCCTATACCTTGCGTTTGAATACTTTTGGTGTTTATGAGACTGTTCGAAAATAAAGGTGGCAACGAAAATGATGGTGACACACAAAATGGTTATCAACAATGTTTTCGGTATAATCTTACTTGTCTTGCTTGACTTTCCTGTACTATGTGCTACAGTGTTCTCTTGTGTTGCTTGTGTTGTGTAAGTGGGTGTGACACTTTTTGGTTTAGTATTAACAGTTTTTTTAGTGACTTCATACTTAATTGGTGTTGCAATGGTTGTTACTGTATCGACAACTGTTGCAGCGATGTTTTTCATATGACTAGGATTTCTATTATTTTTATTGCTAATTGTTTTTGTTGTTGTAGTTAATAAAGGTATACCTTGTTTAAATTCTTGTGTTGTTGGAGTAATTGGTAGTGTTTGTGTTTTGAGATTTGGGAGATTTAATTGTGTTTCACATTTTGTAGTAGCAACATTATGTTGTGTTAAGTGTGATTGAGGTAAAATTTCAATTTTAGATTTCTTATCTGCACCAATTGGTGTACTACTGTCTACACCATATGAAATATCAGCTTTGTTTTCTGTGTTTTTATTTGTTGAAAGAATATTTTGTGTATTTTTTGTGTACTTTGTAACATCTTTTCGAATATTGCTTATATCTTTTCCAAGCTGTGATGAAATTTGAATTTGATAGTCTTTATCTTCGTTCGAAGTTGATTTCTTTATAGCTGACTCAATACTCTCAGGATGAACCAATAAATTTTCTGCACTACTTTTATTAATTGAGTCTTTTGGAACTTTTTCATTTAGTCGTTCGATAGATTGTGAAGGTGTAATTGTTTTCGATGATGTTTGATCCTTTAAACTCGTTGGTTTACTTGACCTGGACTTTGCTGCCGTATTAGTAGTTTGTGATATACCACTTGGTTTATTGGTTCTCGATGTAAATGGCTTTATACTGGCAATATCTTTATTAAGCTCCGTGCTTTGAGGAGTGTGTGTTGTGTGAATATTTGTTGTTAAATCTGCGGGGACTATTTGTTCTGAGGCAGAATTGGTTTGTTGTGGAGTTTTAATGCCAGTAAGTGTTGGTGTATAATCGACTTGATTTGTAATAATTTGTTTTGGTGTGATGTGTAAATTAGGTTTTATGTTGCTGTTGGGTTTATATACTACATATGTGTTAGGACTATGTTCTGTTGCTGTACTAAGTTTTGGAGTTTGTTGTGTTGTTGGTGTCTTGACTTCACCAGATGTTTTGTACTGTATATTGTTTATGGTTTGTGCTATATTTTGTTGTGTCTTAATTCTATTGGGCAGTATTGTGTTGGGTATATCCTTATGTGTTTTAAATGTTTCAACTATATTAAGATTGTTTGTTATAGTTTCCTTAATTGGTACTTTGTTTGCTGTTTGTGTTGCTACACTCTCGATGATATCTTTTTCTTTAAAGTCTTTCTCATTGCTATCTGTTTTAATTGTATAAATTTTACCTAAATTTGTATTCATAATCATATTCGTGACAAGTTTCGTTAGTGGTTTGTTTGGCGGTGTGAGTGTTGAAATCGGTTTTGATAATGGACGTATTTCAGTCTTTTTATTTGCATCCTGGGTTGCTGGTTGTTTGCCATTGCCGTTTTTCAAGAAACAGCCTGAGCAAGCTTCTTGATAGAAGTTATGTTTCGGTAATGGCTTTGGTGTGGTTGTTGTTATTGGAGATTGCTTGGGTACTACAACCATATCAACAGTTTCTGCAAAATATAAAATGTATTATAAATATTTGAAATATAATTTTCATTGTGTACTTACTAGGTGGCGATTCATATGGATAGTTTCTCATAGCTAATATACGAAACTTTCCCTCCTCATCAGTTGCATACACCGTCACATGGTAAATGCCATCGGCCGTTATGAAGCCAAATTCGCCCATCACAATGCCACGCTCGTCTTTTCAAAGAAACCAGAAATTTTATATTTAATTTTTAATACACTTTTGCATATTAACAATTTAATGATTTTTTTATTATTATAATTTATACTTAGTATTTTTTTATTCAAATTTTCATTTGTTTGGTATGTTCTAAATTTGCGTATTAAACTGGATTAACAGGAGTAAATCGTCTGTTTTTTTGTTGGCGTCGGAAAGCTACTTGGTACTATGGAAGCCAAACAAACAATTCTATAACCATTCACAGTCCATTGTTTTATTGACTTGTAGCCATAATGTAGCCATAACATTTCCAAAATTCATTAATATTAAATTTGATGATGTTTATTATCATTTAAAATCAGTAAGAACGATTTCGTATAAATAATTCATTTATTCGAACATTGTTTGGCAAGTATATGAAATGTATATGATTTATTTATGTAAATAAATTTTATTTATGGTCAAGATCTATTTCGATTATGATAGCCCACGTTTAAATTCTGATAAGAATTGATTTGCCAGTATCTAGTTTTGATCTATATTAAAATTCGTTTACACATTAGAGGCAGTTTAGTGTTTTTTTATAAGCAATAGTTTTATTTTAATACAACATCAAATCTCTGTTTTATAGAACCTGTTAAACTGTTTGCAAATAACACGGGTAATAAAATTAGATGTTATCTTACAAACTAGTATTTAAACGTAATAAGATACCTCAATCAATGGAACTGTTATCGTTTAAGTAACATGATATGTAAAATCGATTAATGATTGTACAAAACATGTGTAGGAAGATCCATAAAAAATAATATTAGAAAATATTTTAATGACGAAAAAAATAAAAATTTTATTTATGTATATTAATTACCATATTTACTTACTTAGTTTTAATAACAAATATATTAATATTTTGAACATCAGTATAAATTCATAGAATTTATATTTTAGCATATTTTGGCAATATAACCATTAGTACTATCACGTCATTGAAATTAAAGTTTGCTTTTAAGTTATGGCTAGCCAGTCAGGTGTAATGACCTTATTTGGTTTCTATATAAATAATAATTTAAAAACATAAAATTATTATCAATTGTTATCATCTCTCGAAGACTAGATTGGAAGGTTACTATAGTAGGGTGGCTCAGAAAAACTAAAATCCGATTTTTAATGAGCGCACCCCCTAGGAATATGCCATTGACCAAAAAAATGATATTTCCAAAGTTTTGGACCAATAGGATTAAAAATGACGTTGCGCCACTCGAGCAAAGTTGGGTTTTCAGTACAAAAAACAGAAATTTTTCATTTCAAGGTCATTTTTTATCTTTGTTACTTGTTTTAACAGTTATTAATATATACTCATTTGATAGATAATTAAAATATCTTTTTAATAAGATATTGATGAGCAAAATCGGTTAAAAATTATGCGCAAAACACAATAATTAGTTGAGCGACTGTGCCCTGTTTTCTATTTCATACCTTTTAGCTGGCATGCACAATGCAATCACAAATGTTTACAAGAAACGGAAGAAACATAAATAAAAAATAAAAATAATACATTTCTACTTAATAATTTATATAGATATTTAAGTAGAATTGAAAATGTAGTCAAAATAAGAATTTTTTCGTAAGCAAAGAGAAAATGGTGGTACAGGGAATATGACTCAAGTTAATATCCTTTTAGCAAACGAAGCAAGAGCGGCTAAAAATTCCATTGATTTTAATTGGAATAAATTTGATGAAGAAATTTGTCTCAAAATGGAAGCTGAATCTTTAGTCACAGTTCAACAAAATTGGGATAACGCAGACAGAACTATTCAATTTATCACACCTATTTTAGTTTCCGCCCTTGACAAATGCAAGTTTTCGGATCGCTACGCTATACATATTTTGTAGTAGTAGGAATGGTTACCTGTGGTGCCCTGGTGCCATCCAAGATTCTCGATGGATGGCGAAAATCATGTACTTACTAAAAATGTATATTTTAAGAGATTAATTTACATATAACTCGGATGATTTGTACGAGATATATACATTTTTATGGTGAGCATATGTGTGAAAATTTTAACCCACACTAGCTTAGGTTATGTTCGGAAGGCACGTACTGACCGTTGTCAGCACTTCTACTCGGAGACATATATTGCCCATTGGGATGCCCTCAAAAAATTTTACCAGGAGATGCGAGTTGCTAACCTTTGTTATCCTGGTTAAACCATTTGATTTTCCAGATGAAGTTGAGGAGATCCGATAAGTTTGCTTTCGTTATCTCTTCCAAGCCAGTAAAATAAGGATCCGCAAGACATTAAAGTAGCTTTGTTTGAAGTCCTGGACAGAGACACAGGAAGTGGTTGATAGATTTTACGTCCTCTTCATCTTGGCAACTCCTGCATAAACCACTTGTTGGAACTCGCCACCGTTGGAGCATAGGCGCAATGGCACAGTGCCCCTTTAGTACTCCAGAAAGCACACGAACTGCAGGTTTGCTGAAGCCTAAAATGCTTTTCGTTTTATTTTTGTCCAACTTAGGCCATAAGATTCTAGCGAACTTACAGTCTTCGCGGTTAGTTTATAAATTGTTAGTCATTGTATTGATTTCCTCTATTATCCTATATAGTTTACATATCGGTCTATGTATTGAGAGGTCGGCCTCTCCTGTATGCAGTTCAGAACCTCTTCTGGCCATCTCATCTGCTAGTTCATTTCCTTCAATATTGCTATGTCCAAGTATTCGAAATGTACCATGCCCAACAAAGAGAGACCTTATGATGTTTGATGCTCATCAGTGCATCGCGACATTTTAATACTATCTTGGAATTTAGATTCAATTGCTTTCAGTGCGGCCTATCTACAAAAATCGTGAAATTCAAAGGACGAATTGTACTTTGTTGTCTAATGTTGACCTCTTTTTCGATAACATATATGTCACCGTGAAAGACGCTGTAAGTAGCAGGGATTCGGTAGCACTGTCTTATCTGCATATTTTTCGAGAAGATACCTGCTCCCGTACCGCCTTCCATCTTTGAGCCATCTGCGTAGATAGTAACTGTAGAGTTACCAGTCACAGATCCAAGCTCCCAGCTATCTCTGGTTAGATAAAGAGTGGGAACCCACTAATGAAGTAATTTTTTTCAAGGAACCTTATTGATTTCGTGACCGAAGAGATAACAAATTTTTTTGATCGTTTTTGCCTATCTAATAGTTTTATCAGTTTCGATCCTTCGCCGTGGATGGAGACGCAAGATTATAGAGATGGACTCGAATTCTGTGCCAGACTTCATATGATAAATGATTGTATAGAAAGAGGAATTAGGATTATGATGGATTATAATTCGATTTCGACAAAATATGAAGAGGAAAAACAATATGTTCCGTAAGTAGTCGATCATTATCATAAAAATTATCCTTCACATAGTCAGTTTTATGTTATAAAACATAATAGACACAATATATTAATTACTGAAAAATGGGTTTTCTTGAAATTATGATTTTTTATTAATAATTAACTAGTTCGTAGCATATACCTATTACGTAATTGTGCATGCCAGCTAAAAGGTATGAAATAGAAAACAGGGCTCAGTCGCTCAACTAATTATTGTGTTTTGTGCATAATTCTTAACCGATTTTGCTCATCAGTATCTTATTAAAAAGATATTTTAATTATCTATCAAATGAGTATATATTAATAACTGTTGAAATAAGATAAAAGATAAAAAATGACCTTGAAATGAAAAATTTCTGATTTTTGTACTAAAAACCCAACTTTGCTCGAGTGGCGCAACGTCATTTTTAATCCTATTGGTCCAAAACTTTGGAAATATCATTTTTTTGGTCAATGGCATATTCCTAGGGGGTGCGCTCATTCAAAACTTCATTTTTAATTTTCCCCCTTATAACGTGAGCCACCCTATTACTATAACCATAAAGCTTAGACCATCCATATGTAAGTATCTTCCAATAGTTTTCTGATTTTCTAACAATATTTCCAACTGGTATTGCAGAGAATCTAAGCGGTTTTTAATGGACTTCAACATCAATTAGTCCAACTTTACTAACTTCATAGAATCTTAAAGCTATCTTGATATCTATGTGTGAATACGTTTATATATGAACCATAATTAACAACTTAAGTACAAAATCGATTAACCTTCTCAGAGAAGTAGAAATATCTTTAAAGTTTCAAAGAAATCTCTGTTAAGGTTGCTCAAAAAAACCTTATAAGTCATAAGTCTTCATAAGAATACATCATTCTTTTAATTCTTTAAATCATAAATCCCAAATGGCCATTTATTATACCACATAAATCTGTTACTGGTTCGTAGCGTTAGTAACAAAAAAATTTAAATTATTTTGTTGCATTTTTATAATACTAGTAATAAGTTTAATAATAATTTCTTAGTAATTTTTTTAAGTTTTATAATCAATCACTATACAACCTCTTTTATTTGACTCAGTGATCCACAGGATGTTCGAGAAATGTTTTTGAGCTAATGTAGTTGTAGTTATCAGCTCAAACTCTTAAACCATTTAAAATTCGTTGCCATAGAATTGTAAATGCCAGAACAAAAGATCTTCCATTTATGAAATCGTTATTATAAGAACATAGATTGTATAGTATAGCAAGAAATATCAGAAAATCTCTATAGAACTATTATAATGTAAACTAGAACCAGCGCAATTTATAATAGTTTTACTTTTAACACCATGGTCTAAGCATAAATTAGACTTACGTCATCTTTCGGTTCTTCTTCAGTGCTTCAAAAATATGCTTGGGTTTAAGAAAGTGTATTATTATGGATTATCAAAAATAATATTTAGGTTTTCCTTTTTTTTATTAATTAGTTAGTATTTAGTTAACACAACGGGTATATAGGCCTAAAAAAATCCTTTTGAAATGCCGGTACGACGTAACCTAACCTAATATCTAGTTAAGAAAGAGACATTGTCTGTTTGTAAACTGATAAGATGCTATCCCTACTATTTCTTAGATTATGTGTGTAATTAGAGGAATTCTTCAGATAAT